TCTCAAGCAGGGTTTGAAATCCGAAACTTCTGCTCCAATTCGGCCGAAGTACTGGCAAGCATCGGGGAATGCAGAACACCACAGGAAGTATCCATGAACTTGGAGAAATCGACAGACTCGGAGCGTATACTGGGTCTGGTGTGGAGGCCAAAAGAGGACGTCTTCACCTTCGATATGAGCAGTCTCAAGGAAGAGATCAAAACGTTGATCAGCGGCTCAACGGTCCCAACCAAACGGCAGGTTCTGCGCACTGTCATGTCGTTATTTGATCCGCTGGGACTGGTTTCGCATTTCGTCGTGCACGGAAAAATCTTAATGCAGCAGATCTGGAGATCCGGTACCGATTGGGACGAACCTATTCCGGAGGAATTGCAGGATAAGTGGCGGTGTTGGTGTGAGTACATGCAGCACTTGGAAGAGGTGGCAGTACCGCGATGCTTCTTCAAAGGAGTGAACAGCTCCGCTCTCGAGAACGTCGAGGCACATCTATTCGTAGATGCGAGCGAAGTGGCTTGCGCAGCAGTTTTGTATCTTCGCTTCGTGGACAACGGTTCTCCTCGATGCGCGCTGGTGGCGGCTAAAACAAAAGTTGCTCCGCTGAAACCCCTTTCCGTGCCACGTCTGGAGCTACAAGCGGCGATGATTGGAACAAGACTGCTCGACTCAGTGTTGACTTCGCTGGATATCCAGGTTAACAAGCGCTTCCTTTGGTCGGATTCATCAACTGTCCTGTGTTGGTTACGATCCGATAGTCGACGGTATCACCAATTTGTGGCCTTTCGAGTGGGAGAGATTCTTACATCTACTAGCGCGGATGAGTGGCACCACGTGCCTTCCAAACTGAACATTGCTGACGCGGCCACGAAATGGAAAGACGGACCCAGCTTCGATCCGAAGAACCCTTGGTATAGTGCACCGGAGTTTCTGTATAAGCCAAAGGAGCAGTGGCCAAAGGAACTATCTCAGAAGGAGAAGGAAACGGACATCGAGTTGCGAACTGAATTCTTGTTCCATGGAACCACGCCTCAACCGTTGATCGACGTATCCAGATTCTCGAACTGGAATCGACTCCTGAGGACAACAGCCTACGTTCTACGTGCAGTGCGCAGATTGAGAGGAGAAAAGGGGTCCAAACCAGATCTCTTGACGCAGAAGGAGCTGCGTGATGCAGAAAACTTGCTTTGGCGGCAGGTTCAATCGGAAATGTATCCTGACGAGCACGCAATTTTGCGACGTAACCAGACGAATCCCAGCAATCCAGTGTCAATTCCGAAGTCCAGTCAGCTATACCGGCTGTCACCGTTCGTAGATGAGAGCGGCGTCATTCGGATGAATAGTAGGCTCACCGCGGCGCGAGCCGTCTCGACAGATATGAAGTACCCGATCCTGTTACCGAAGAAGCACGCTGCGGTCCATCTTCTGGTGGAGGACTATCATCGGCGATTCCTGCACGGCAACGGAGAGACTGTTCACAACGAGATGCGTCAACGGTTCTACATACCAGGATTGCGAAATGTGATACGCCAGGTATCGAAACAATGTGTGACCTGTCGTGTTAGGAAGGCTGTTCCACAACCACCCATGATGGCGCCCCTACCCGAGGTGCGAGTCACGGGACTAGTTCGTCCCTTCACGCACACTGGAGTGGACTATTTCGGACCGATACAGGTTAAGCAAGGACGCAGTTTGGTGAAGAGGTGGGTGGCGCTATTCACGTGCCTCACGGTTCGCGCCATACATGTAGAGTTGGTGCATAGTCTGTCAACTCAGTCCTGCATCATGGCGGTTAGACGATTCGTGGCTCGTCGAGGTTCCCCGGAGTCCTTCCACAGTGACAACGGAACAAACTTTCTGGGGGCCAGCAACCTGTTGACCAAGGAGATCCAGGATATCCATGAAGACTGCGCGGTAACGTTCACCAATTCGGCGACCAGCTGGGAGTTCAACCCACCATCGGCACCTCATATGGGCGGATCGTGGGAGCGCATGGTGCGCTCAATGAAGGTAGCGATGTCAGCTATTGCAGATCATCCTCATCACCCTAGCGACGAAGTACTACAGACGGTAGCCACAGAAGCGGAGGCGATTGTAAATTCCAGGCCGCTCACCTATATACCACTGGAGTCTACGGAGCAAGAGTCTCTAACGCCGAATCATTTCTTGCTGTTCGGTACCAAGGGAGTCATTCAACCAGCAACTTCGGCGAACTCAGTTGGGAGCAGCTTGAGGGACAGTTGGCGCCTTGCGCAGCACTTGGTGGACCAGTTCTGGTGTCAATGGATACGCGAGTACTTGCCCACTATTACGAGACGTACCAAGTGGTTCGAACCAGTCAAGCCTCTAGAACCAGGGGATCTCGTGCTAGTCGTCGACGAAGGCAAACGGAACGGTTGGTTAAGAGGACGGATCATGGACGTGACCAAGGCAGCGGACGGACAAGTTCGACGAGCAGTTGTGCAGACGAAGAACGGGTTACTCAATAGACCTGCAGTAAAGTTAGCACTTCTGGATCTTCAGAAACCTGGAGACGGTCCGGAACTTCACGGGCAGGGGGATGTTACGAAACCGCAGGGCTGATTCGGACAACAGTTGGGTGAGTTCGGTACCGCCCGTAGCTGTCAACGCGAAAACCCATAGACGTCAGTGGGAGAAACGTCAAGGAGCATAACATCGTGTCCAGAACTGTCACATGGAGCATAAAACTAACGTGATTGAATGGTTGATGTGAATTGAATTAAACCTAAATTGTTAGTAAAAGTTATTCCTTGATAAAATTAAAGTGTTAATTAGTTAAAGTGAATTGGCTAAGCTGAGCTAGGTGATTATAAATAAACATGCAGTTATCTTAAATACTATGTGAATACTTATACGGAAGTCTATTATAGATACTATCGCTAATAGTACGGATGATTTATTAGTTCATGCAAGTTGATACTAATTATAAACGTAAGTAAGTTCCACCTACGATAAAATCAGGGTTAAAACTAATGAGTTTGTTAAATCTAGGACACTACGAATACTTAAATGAATACTTTGTTTCGGATAAAAAAGGAAGAAGAAAACGAAAATGTAAGTTTAACCCTCGGTTTAACCTATATTTTACTAATACTGAAATTATCATTATAATACATTATAGCTTTGAAGCTGCGTGTAAGCTGCTATCAGGACGTGTTTCCTTCCCAATCCGAACAAAGGGCCAAAAACGAAATGGGGGGATCGATTGGCAAAGTCGCCTATACGCATCTACGGGACAATAAAGAATCTCCTTCCAGCAACATGATTGCACAATTGGGCAAAAAGTCGAGCCCCAAAACAGGAAGATGTCCCAAAGGGGTGGGGGGAAAAAGCCCGCCCTTTATCCACGAAATGTTATCAACAAGGAGTTGGCATTCCCACTCTCCCCGTCCAACTCGCTTCAATCGGGTGCCCTGTTGGACCCTCCTTACCTTTTGTATATATATTTAAATGTTTATGTATATTATATATATATATATATATAATGAATCATCACTTATGCGAGTCGATTATTGCCGCGCTTATGTTAAATTCTCATTTGGTGACGGTCAAAGCGCGCCACTAATAAGCGCGTTGCAACCACCGACAAACCGACATGAATGACTATAGCAAAAACAATAAATTTTCTACCAAAGCACACTACTGACATCTGGCTCCGTGTTCACGGGAAATATTTAGCTAAGCCATGAACCCGCATGCAAAAGTAATGAATTGGTTCGTGTCTGATCTATTCTGGACAAATTATTTCTATGTAGATCAAAAAATCCTATGGTGTTGAGTTCGGATCACTGCACATTTAAATCAGCCGTTTACGATTTTCGGACATAAGTCAGAATTAAGTGTCATATCGGTTTGTCGGTGCTGCAACCATAGAGGTAACTCTAAAGGCCCACGCACATTAGATCCGGATCGGACGCGTTCCGGCAAAGTGACAGCTAAATCTATTGTCTAACTGACGAATTTACGTCAACGCAACGCAAACGAATCTAATATGGGTGGCCTTTAAGACTAGTGAGTCCCGAAGAAACGTGCTCAGCTTTTTTTAGAAGTGAACCTTACAAATAATGGGTTGTTAAGAACCATTACCAATCCAAATTCTTGTTTTCTCCATACATTTTTGGGAAAGGAATTATATTGGAACCATTTTATTTATGATTTGAGAACTTTAATGGTAATGGTTATGGTATTCGGTAAGGTTCATAGATAGTTTTATAACATTGATCAACTTTATGTGGAATATATTGCGAATTGGTTGCCTGCAAATGACTGATTACCAATTCGCGATATATTCCACGTAAAGTTGACCGATAATACAAAACCGTTAATTGACCTTACTGACTACCATAACCATTACCATTAAAGTTCTCAAACAATAAGTAAAAAGATTCTAATATAGTCCTCTCTCCGAAAATGTATGGAGAAAACAACTATTTTGAATGATAATGGTTCTTAACAACCAATTATTTGTAAAGTTCACTTCCAAAGAACCATTATAAATAAAGTTAAAACTTTATCACACAATTGTTCATGTAAATTTCCATAACCATTTCAGGGATAGCAGGGATTATAAACAATTTTTAACCATTTTCGGTAAGGTCAACTTCACATTAACACCCATATGCCCGTCCACACCCGAAACCCACCCCCACACAAAATCAAAGGTTTCTGTATGGCAAACACGCCCGGACATAAACGAGAATATGGGTAGGTATATGGTAATTCACTATCGCAACTACGGGTAATCATCGAAAGTTCTTGCATTTTACTCAGGCACTTTTGAGCAAAGCGCAGGGCCTTATCAAATAACGAATCATCAACGTCGGAACATTCAAATTCCAACCAACAACCAGCAGCGCTGCTTTTGCGCGTTGCTTCCTATTGCAAGACACCACGATAAGTGGGAGGCTTTTCCGACCACCACCCATCCATCTGCAGTCAGTCGGTGGGCTGGAAAAATCGATTAATTCACCCCCTTCCTCGTAGTTTTCATGTTTTCGGACTTGTCAAAATACAACACACAGGAAGAACGTCCACCCGTACGAACACCGTGGATTGGATTTCCTAATTTAGTTTTTTGTTTTACAATCTTGTGTTGGAAAAGCGGCATAATTCGGAATGTTGAAGTCCGAATTCCAACACCAGTTTTGGGTTACCAAAAAGGCAGTCCAACGGAAGCTGGGTGAGTGCGGTTTTCCACTGATTCGAATTGTGGCGTAGATTGCAATATGCAGCGAAGAACATGATGACATTCTCTTTTTCCTCGTACGATTAGGCTCGAAAGAAGATGAAAATATTGTGGCTTCCGATGGGGAATTGGATGCGAAAATTGAGCTATTCCAATCGGTGACCGATAGCTCACGACAGCTGTACCGCATAATAGACCAGTATCAGGAACGAGTTTGTATTCTAGCCCAGGAGGAGAATTCCCTGGGGAAGTTCCTGCGGGAGGTGAGCAAGGAGAATCCCACAACGGGAAAGCTGATGTCCAACACAGGAAAAGCGATCTCCTACTGCGGTCAACAGCGTATTACAATTCGGGTGCCTTTGCTGCGGCTGCATCATGATGTGCAGACATTCAAGGGACGTGCCATTGTGGACACACAAAAGACCCTGCAGGTAATGGAGAGGGAACGGACCGAGTATCGAGCGGCGCTGAGCTGGATGAAGTCGGTCAGCATCCAGTTGGATCCGGACACTGGGAAGGGGTTGGAGAAGTTCCGTAAGGCACAGCGTCACGTCAAGACAGCAAAGACGAAATTTGACAAGTACTCGTTGGATTGCTTGGAGAAGGTGGGCTACTCGGTTGGTCCTTTGTTCCAGTAGATTCTCATGGAGGCCCGTGGTTTCTCATTTCAGATCGATTTGCTAGCAGCAGCGAGGTGCAATATGTTCTCACATGCCCTGGTGGGGTATCAGAACTCGATGCTGCAGTTTGCGAAGAAGAGTAACGATACTTATAAGGCAGCACTGAAGAGCCTTTCGAAGGATCCACACTATAACTTTTCGATTTTGAAGGAGCTCACACAAGCTAATCCGAATGCCAAGGAAGGCGAAGAAGGCGAGGATCAAGTGGACAAACCTGCGGATGGAGATCAAATGCTGTTCTTCCAGGTAGGATTGTTATCGATTGAAATACATGTAGTTTTCAAACAAATTCCAACTAATCCATAGGATGAGTACAAGGACGAAGAAGCAGCTAGCCAAGTGCAAGAACCTAAGCCATCTAGTTCCAACCCTGAAGACGACGATCAGATTCTGTCCGACATTCCTACGCAAATCAATGACCTACTGTCGGGCGTATCTCCGTTGAATCCCGAGCTCAACCACCAGCCGGACGCCACATCTAGCTATGCAGACCTGCTGGGTCTAACCATGGATGATGAGTTTTCCGACTTTCTATCTTACCCAGCGCCATTCATGCCATCGACATTGCTCACCAATCCCGAACCGCTGGAAACTTCAGCCTTAGATCAGCTTACAAGCCTCAATCAACAACAACCGTCAACACCAGCCAGCTCTAAACCGGACCGCTTCGGAAGCTTCCTGCAGAGTATTTCCAAAAGTACCAATCCGGTAGGTGGAGCCGGAAGCAGTCAACCGGATGCTAAAAAACCCCACAAGGACGGCAAAACGGGCAAAGACCTCTCCGGATGGTATCAACTGTTTGCCGAGTTGGATCCGCTCTCCAATCCGGATGCCATTCCGTCCAAGTCTGATGCGCCCACCAATAGTTTGGCCGCTTAGAAAGGGCTTTCGGCGCAAGAATCAAACCGAAATATCTACGGGACGGCAAAACTTATAATGCTATTATGCAATGTGTTTATTTATGATTCTTATCGAATATCTTTATTGCTATCGATGGATGGATGATGATGATGATGAACTATGAAACGCTGGATCACTTCTCATCACTGTGTATTACCTATAATATATGCTACTTTGAATGTATGTACAATTGTCACGTGCTACACTATTGGAGATCAATAAAGAATCGAATGAATGTGTCTGTGAATCCCATAGTAATTCCCTTCCAATATAAACTTCCAAGGTCCAGTGCAGTACCAGTTGTATGTATGTATGTAAGGTAGCCACCATCCCTTCGAAGATCTTGTCTTGTATGCAGCTCCACTTAATAGCAAGATCAATTTGAGCTACCGATCTGAATTCACAATATCGCTGTATGAAGGGCCAAAAACGGTGGGGTGGACCCGTAAGCAGAGACACTTACGCGAAATCCACGGGAATTTAAGAATCTCCTTCCAACGATACGATCCAACAAATCGAATAACGCAATTCGCAATACTTATTAAGCTTCCTACAGGATGGTTTGTTAAGAAGGGCGCGTCAATCTCACTGAAACTGTTGGAGTAGAATTCACACCATCACAATCGAATCGGTAGGATAAAGAAAATGATAGTGTTTATTCCCTCCTAGACTCCGGTTGTCATACCACTCCAATCGTCCAGTTTCAGGTCAAATGATACCCTGATGCTCCCTCCCAACCCAGTATTTATTTATATATATAGTAAACATATGTAATGGAGAAATGAAATATATCAGAACATTAAAATACGTAATAATGAAAATACATTTATATGGATAAAAAAACTGGTATTCCGCAATGAAAATAATAATTATTTTACATACAATATGATGCAGCTCTATGTCTCCTCAGCTCCCAATAAGGAAGATGTAACCCTGAAATTTCCAACAAAAGACACAGAAAAGGAGATTTTGTTAGTAAGTTGGGTTCGTTGGATCAGGATTCACCTTGATAAGTGATGCGACCATGGTTTTAAATGAATCAGTGTTATCATGCATTATACTTGGATTTGCCCGAAGCCAAAACCAAATGGTGTATCATTGGGCCTTATTACGGGTGTCACTACACGGTGATAAGAAAGTGATACTCAGAATAAGAGCCGTGATTACCGTACAAATCAAATGTGAATCACTTCACCGTGACGACAAGTGACAACTTTTCACCGTGATGTGACATCCGTAATAAGCCCCCTTATAATATAAATCTGAAGACGTTCCATTATCGAAATGCTGAAAATGAACATAGAGCATGAGCATGAGCAAAATTGATCGCCCGCGACTGCCAACACCAAAGAGCTGAAAACCAATTCAAACAAATCAAATCAACAGACAAAACCATGGTGTATAGCTGTAAGAGTGAATCATTACAGTATAAATCTAGTGATGTTCCGTCATCAAAGAGCTGGAAGAAAACTCAAATAATTTAAATCAATAGATCCAGTCTGAATGAAGGCTGCAAAAAGAGAATAATTATACAGCAATGACCCCATTTTGTCAGCTAGCAAAGTATGTGTATCTTAAACATTCATCTTGAAGGAGGAAGGTATGAAATTACAATTATGTGGAATTATTGAAAAATAACAGTCTGATGCGCGGAGAGATTGACAGGATCGGGTCATAACTGTAATGTGAATATTAGGAAGATTTATCATCATCAAACTATTCTTGAATTGACCTGGAAGAATGCTTGTGAATAATTGTTATACAGATAAATTAAATTGATAAACTAAATGGTTCAAACAACAACTCCAGCCTGTAAAAAAGCTGAAAATAGGGAATCTTTACAATGTGGATCCCCGACGGTCTTCTACTCAGTAAGCAAAAGCGGCAGCCACCAGGCTAGTCGATCTGCTCAATTTAAATATTGAAACCTTATTTTATGAAGTTCTTAAGAATACCAATTGAAACACAATGTAAACAAATAAAAGTTAAGAGTCTCATCCGAATCAAATGATTCCAAACGATACGCATTCATAGAAATTAAGTTTAAATAGACAAAATTAGAAAAATGGAACAATCTCACCAAATCAGTCCAACTGAATCCCTTGCAAGCAGCTATGTCACGCTTGGTGTAGTAGCTCCGATCATAGACCCGCCCTACGGGGATCAATCCTCTGGTCGAATGTAGTCGATTGCTCCATGACGCGAACACGAAGCGACCGCTCACAAAATCATACAACGCGTAAACAAACTGAAATCAAAAACTATCACACGCGACGCCACAAATTTCTGTACCGGGAGCACAAGCGAAGAAAAAAAACAAACAACGCAGATAGCGACACTTCTTCTGATGCCTGCAAACATGATGCATCACGTTTTCTTTTTCGATTCCAAAACTTCTCGGAAAGCGAGAAAACCACCAATCACACACGTATAACCGTCCGGGAGGCAGAGTGCCAGCGCCAGTGGTGGCACGAGTCCTGGAGTTTAACATTTTTTCCATAACATTTGATACATTTTGCCATAACCATTGTGACGACACACAAAAACAAACTGGCAAGCGGCAAAAATGTCATGACATTTCTAAACTGTTTTCTGCCAGCGACAGAACATTTTCGCACAAAGAAGCAGACAAGACCGGCGGCGCGCGCGACATAAATTTATGTCGTGTAGAATTTTGCTGATTTCTGGCTAATTACTGCATTTATTTGATGTTTATTGCATGGAATTAAAAGATAAGAATGAAGACTAATCACTCATAAGCATTGATGTTAAAATTATGCGTAAATAAGGGAGTTGGTAATTTACTGTCACACGCAAGCCTGCAGCTAAAATTTCATTACAATAAACTGTTTGGAAAAATCAGGCTGCGAGATTTTATTTATTCTCTATCTCCGCTGTTCGCTTGGAATGTAGTTATACACGGTCGCCCGTGTGCTGGCTGTTTTGTTTCGCTCTGGACGATGGTTTTTCAAAAAATGTACTGTTGCCACCTCTGGCCAGCGCTAATCTGGCAAAATCAGCGAACGCACGCACAAAACAGAAATAAACTTATACACAACCGTATCCGAACAGGTTCGAAGCTGCACAGCCAGGACCAGTGCAGTACCAGTTCGCATAAAAATGAGCCCCAAATTTTGGGAGAATGAGCATGAGCATGATTGACCGGCCATGGTTTCTACTCTGTTATTAACAGCAGATGTAATTACACAGAGAACCAATATACGATGCTTGGGACTAGCAATCATCCTCAATGTGTAAAAACTGGTGATTTCAAACTAGGCAATACCAGCGCTGGCCGCGTCGAACGCAGATCATGAAATACAGGGGTTACTCAAAATAACTAGGATAGGCAAATTTTTGGTCAACTTTGGAGTGTTGTAACTTCATCAAATATGATCCGATTTTAAATCTTCTAAGAGCATTTGACTGGACAACTGGTCACCGGATACCGGAGATATTCCGGGTTTCCGGAGGGCTTGTCTAACTTGCTAAATTTTTAGTGAAATATTATATATGATTGCTAGTTAAATATATATATATATTTTGTAAATACAACGAAAGAAAAACAATTTCTAAAGCGAATCATATGCCAAGAACGAAAATCGGCCTATAATCAACCGAGATATGCAGGGCTATTCTACGCGGCGTATGAGGTGAAGTGACAGTGAAGTGATGGTGAAGTGACAATTCGACAGTGAGCATGCATAAGGGCCTATACGCGATGATCGATTCTCTTCGTCGATTTTCTCTTTCGTTAATAACTCGCTAGATTGAACGTTTATCGGTGCGTTTGCTGTTGCTTTTGATAGCCAATACAACCTGTTACTACTCTGCATTGAACAAATTCTAGAAAACTGTTTCGCTTAGCTGTAGCAATGCAAAGAGAAAATCGATGAAGAGAATCGATCATCGCGTATTCGCCCTTATGCATGCTCACTGTCGAATTGTCACCTCGGGTGAGGTGACTCTCCATTTGATTTGCACGGAGAGTCACCTCACCCGAGGTGACAATTGTCACTTCACCATCACTTCACTGTCACCTCACCTCACACGCCGCGCAGAATAGGCCTGATGGCCATTTCCCTGGAATCGGTTCTGGTGGAGGGTTCTGAATGCGGGCAGATCATTTAATCACTCAAAACAGCTCTTTCTTCATGGTTTCTCATCAATAGACTTTCGATAAACTGTAAATGCATCATTGACCACATTGGCCACTCTCGGAACATTCAGTATGCCTTCGGGGGAACCTGGAGCAGGGGACAATTGCATTTTTACACCAAAACATGCCGTGCGACAGCTCATTCTTCATGGTTTTTCAAGAATAGGCTTTCCATAAACTTCAAATGAATCATTGACCACATTGGCCGCTCTTGGAATCACGGGATAGGGGGTATCGGGGGGAGGGATCCTGTAGCAGGGGTCAATTGCGTTTTTACACCAATACATGCCGTGCGACAGCTTTTTATGCAAGCTTTTTCATGAATAGGCTTTTGATAGACTTTAAATGGATTAGTGACCACATTGACCGCTCTCGGGACCTCCGGTATGCCCCCGGGGGAACCTGGAGCAGAGGACAATTGCATTTTTACACCAAAACATGCCGTGCGACAGCTCATTCTTCATGGTTTTTCATGAATAGGTATTCATTAAACTTCAAATGGATCAGTGACCACATTGGCAGCTCTCGGAATCACGGGATACCCCCGGGGGAACCTGTAGTAGGATGCCAATTTTTACTCAAAAACATGCCGTGCGACAGCTCTTTCTTCATAGATTTTCATGAATATTCTTTTTATAGACTTAAAGTGAATCATTGACCACATTGGCCGCTCTCGGAACCACTGAGATGCCCCGAGAGAACCTGTAGCAGGGGACAATTTCGTTTTAACTCAAAAACTTGCCGTGCGACAGCTCTTTCTTCATGGATTTTCATGGAATTCCGAGAAGTGTTTCAAAGTTTGTGATGGATTTTTGTTTTGAGAATTCTGAGGAAATACTATGGGGATTCTAAGGAGAATATGTATTTCCAATTGAATGCAAGGGAGAAGTTCAAGATTATTCTAAGCTGAAATTTATGAAACTTCTGAGGTTAATTGCATGGAAATTCTAAGGATGGATTTATGGAAGGAGCCTTCAAGGAGTTTCTAAAAGAATCAATGAAAAATCGAAAATAATCTACTTTAACTAATTATGCGTGAATTTAACGATTTACATAGTCGGAGATGCTTAACGTCA